CAGTGGGATTTCTTGTTATTCTCATTCGAGGTCCTGAATGCTGTCTGCACCCAGCTCCAGGACAGAAAGCAGCCAGGCCCAGTGGCTTTGGGCAGTGGCACCTTGGGCATCCAGCTCTGCTCACCTGCTCTCCTGATTCCCTGGAATTGTGCTGAGCTCTTTTTCTTCCTTCTGAGGCAGGGCCTGATCAGCATGTCAGGATTCTTGGCACACGGAGGAGCTGGGAAGTGGCTGCATTGCCCAAGACCTGCAGTGCTCCTGTGTAGGCAGCAGAGCAGGGGCTTTGCCCCACCTAATTAGTGGTTTATCAATCAGTCTCGTCTCTTCTCAAAGCCAGGATGAACAGAGACACAGCTGAAACAGTTTTTCTCGTGTTCAGGCTTGGATGTTTATTATATCTTATCAGAAAGTACAGACACTATGACAGCACTTCCAGCTCCTTGCTAGAAGTGAGGAAAAATGGCCCCAGAGGCAACTGCTACAAGGTCTTTTAAGGTTAAACAGTCCAATAGAGAATTAACACCGACATTATTTGTACTTTTGACCCAATAATAGATTCCTGTGACCCTTAGAGTGACACTGACTGACCAGCCAGAAACTACTACCTGAAATCCATGAAGAAGAAAAAGAAAGATGAACAAAGAAAGAGACAATGCCTAAAAAACCCCTCCATGTTGTCCTATATCTATTACTATACTATAAAAACCTCAAATTTAAACCCCATCACGCTGTGAAAGCACACACTTCTAATTCACTGCACACTCGTGATTTTTACTTCACCACTCATATTTAGAAGCCAACTCCAAGGCCTCAGGTCAAAAGCAGTGTTTTCCAGGGGGTCTGTGCCTGAGAGCACAGAAAGCTCCAAAACTCCAGATTTCTGGGATCCAACACTCCTGTCCCTGCACCACACAGGGTCAGACACACCCAGTTTCCACAGAAAACCTCAATCTCCCCAACCTCATCATCTCCCCCCGAGGTCTCTCCCTTGGCTCTTTGCCTTGGGGTGTCCCAGTGAGGTGGTGCCCCCACCAGCCTGGATGAGGGGCAGCCTGGGGGCTGTGCAGGGTCATTCCCCCCTTGGGGACACCCACACACAGCAGCACTCAGTGCAGGAACAACAAGCACAGAGTGGGGCCAGGGATGTGCAGAGCAGAGCAGAGCCAAGACAGGCAGGATGGTGTCACTTCAGGACACAGCACTGGCCTCCCCTGCTCCCTGCAGAGGGTGATGTGGGTGTTTCTCCTTTTTTTTTTCTTCTTTTTTTTTCTCCTTTCCTTTCTCCGTCTCGGCTGTTTGGAAGCTCAGGGCAGAGCTGAGCCCTGCTCCCCTGCACAGGCTGAACGAGGGGCAGGGTCTCATGCTGAGGTTTGAGCTGAGTGTCCCTTGAGCAGGGGCTGTTTGTGCCTGTGTTTATCCCTGGGTGTTCATTGGGGTGGGCTCCCAGGATCAATCCTGCCAGCACTCATATCTGTGCTGCCAGCTGGCATTTTGTACCCAGTCTGGCTGTTTTGTCTGAATTTCCAGCTCCTGGGGACAGGTGAATAAGGGCAATTCCCACATTTTATGTTGGATAGAGGGCTGTGCTGCCTCTGGCTGCAGAGGAAGCAGCTCCCAGGGCTGCTGTACAGAGGGACAAATTTGGGATACAGCTCTTTGCATGTAAGACATGATCTTCTTGTGCAGGCACAGCTTCAGCAGGACCAGCATTCCCTTCTTTTAACCACTTGCCATGGCAGCACTTGCAGCTGGTGCAAAATTGTTTGGAGTGACTTTGTTGCCCTGCAGATGGGAGTTGGGGTGGGATGGGATGAAAAGCCTCATTTATTTAATTATCTGGAAGATTATCCTTAACACCTGTGAACTCCAGAAATTGGCTGAACTGGGTGCTTAAAGGAACCTTGGAGCATTCTCCTCTTCCATCCCCAGGTCTCCTTCTCCCCCAACTTCACCAGGCAGGATCAGGCCAGTCCACACGAGCCCTCCATCCTCTGGACTTGGAGCTGAGTTTTTGGGAGCGGGGTATTTGCTGGAGCCTTGTGCTGGGCTGAGCTCAGCCCCCCCAGCTGTTCAGAAGCCTTCCTCCCACGCCTGGCTCCCCAGAGGCAGCGGCTGCACAGAGCCAGGCACAGCTGTGAGCAGCCTCTCCCCACCCTGGGCACCCACGGTGGTCCAGGGGCCGTGTTCAAGATGCTGGGGAGGTGGAAAGAGGATGATTTCTCATCCCAACCCTTCTCCTCCCATTCTCTGTTGTTCAGGAGAAGATTCCTGAAGGAGGGAAGGGCAGCTCCTCATGGCAGTGCCCAAGGGAAGACAGGAGCAGAGGCTGAGGCAGACCCGGCCCTTAATGAACAGTTCAACCTCAAAATCCACGTCCTCAGCCATGGCAGGGATGTGCAAAAGCAGGCAGGTGCCACAGGGCTGTGTTTGAAACCAAACAGCTCCTGCAGCACCTGCATCTGGGAATTGTGCAATGGTTTTGGTTTGCAGCAGCACAACCTGTCCTTTTCACTCTGAGAAAGGAGAAGTCTTGCACCAAGCTCCAGTAACCCCAGGGCCACCATCCCCTGTCACCCCATGGCACTGGGGACCACAGCAAAGGGCTGCTGGGCAGGGGGCAAACAACCTGTGTGGGGTTATAGCCCCCTGCAGCCCCTTCCAGCTGTCAGGCAGGGATGGATGATGCGCTGGGGGATGAATTTGGATGGGCTCAGACATCCTTGGTAGCTGCAGGAAGGAGCTGAGCTCTCCTGGGACTGAGTCCCCCGTGCCTGCGTTCCTCAGACCAGGGCTCCCGCATACCTTCTGCAAGACCACAGCAGAGCTGCAAAGCACTTCCTTTTACCAGGATATTTATTGCTAAATATATGAATCTGGGAGCCTGTGGAGCGTGAAATTAGGAACAAATGTAAAAAGGAGGTCTAGACAGGAATTGTTCAGCTTATGGGCCTCTGCACGCTCTGCTTCCCTCCCCCTTTGCACGCTGGAGGGTTTAAAGCTTCCAGGTATGCAGCTTTAATCAGAGAAGTATGTTTGGGGAGGGGAAAAGGGAGAAATGCAAATGGTCCAGCTCCGGGGGGAGCAGTGGCTACGATGCCACGTCTGGCTGGGCGCGGCTGGACAGGAACCATGGAAATTGGCTCCGTGCAACCCTGGCTTGTGCCCTGGGGCTTTAATTAATGTGTGGAAAAGCCAGAGAGCCCTCCCTGGCAGAGCTCTGCCTGCCACCTCCCATCCTGGGCCGGCAGGGAGATGCTGATGCTCTGTGATGGGTGCAGCATCGATCCCTGACAGCCTGCAGGGTTGGGTGGCCACCCCACACCCAAATTCCTGTCCCAACACTGCACCCCCTGCCCTTGGCTCCGGGGCAGCGTGGGGATGGCAACCGGGAACAGCAAAGAACCCAGGGATGGGCATTTCCAGCTGGCACCTGGGCCGGCCAGGTACCTCCATCCCTCTTCAAACAGCAGCCAAAATTTCTAAATCACTGATACATCACCTGCAAACCCTTCCCGTGGCTGTGTTGCTCCCCCTGAGCCTCCTTAGAATGTTTTCCCCGAGGAACGAGGGCAGGATTTGGCCCGGCTCCTGCCGGTGTGAGAAGCCCTGGAGCCGTCGGGATAAATTCCCTTCCCTTCTCCCGAGCTGCTCAGCAGCAACATAAAACGTGACACTGCTTTACCCATTCAGCACTCGCCCAACTTTAGCAGGACATTAAGTGCCTGAAAATATGGCAGGGGTTTGTTTTCTTTGGAAGCACGTTAAATCCCTGACAGATACAGTTGCTTTTCCTCGGGTGCTGAAGTAATTTGGGGCTTGGGGTGGCTGGTTTTTGGTTTAACCTGATAGCACGAGCTGGGAGCCAGCTTTGTTAAAGCTCTTGTAGAGTAGGTGGTCAGGGTATGATTTCTCCCTTAATTTATGTCGCTCCTCCTGTTCCCAGCCCCAGCTAAAAGGTTGCTGGAGCTTTACTGGTGCCAGTTTTAGTGCCACTGCCTCGTAGGTGCTGGCAGGTGTGAGCAGGCAGGTACTGTGTCTCCCCAGCATCCTTCCCGGGGCAAAAGCTGTGTCTTATCCTGGGGTGGAGACGAATTCCAGGCCTCCCATGAACCTTCCTTCAAGGCAGGGATGCTGAGAACAAGTCCTGTGCTGGTGATGCAGGGCTTGTGCTGTGCATGATGCACAACATCTGTGTGAGCCCAGCAGGGACAGGGACAGGGACAGGGACAGGGACAGGGACAGGGACACGGACCTTCTGCTGCTCCCAGTGCTGTGCCAGCTCCCAAGGGGCATTCCATTGAGAGAAGGGTGCTGATGGTAGCCCAAAACACAAGCAGGGTGGCCAAGCTGAGCCACAGCATCTCTGTGATGTCCAGTGCCCTCTCTCCCAGCCACAGCTCACCTGGGACTCTCAAGCATCATCCTGGGGTGCCCCCAGAGCCCCCCAAAACTGTGGCTTGGCTATGGTGAAGTGGAGGATCCTGGTGCCTTGGATACATCCCACTTTCAGGGAGGGCAGCACCCCGCTCCCTGCAGTCCTTAAAGGCTCACTTAGCAGCTCCACGTTATTCCAAATTAAAATACCACATTTTTTTCATGGGGAAAATGGATTACAGGCTCAGAGAAAAATGAGGGCAGATCAGAAATCCTTATTGCAAGGCTCCTTCTCCCATCACTGAAGCTTTCTGCCACCAGGTAGGAGCTGGGAGAGTGCCCTCGGTGCCTGGTGTTTGTCCCTTGGCTCCCCCTCCTGAGGGCACAACAGGCAGATGGGACCCCAGAGCTGCTTCTCACTCAATTCCTCACCCACTGCATGAAGTTTTTTAATCCTTGCACCATTTTTGGGAGGATGGGAACTCCCTGGTGACTTTCCACAGGTGCCCAATGCAGGGACCTGGCCTGATTCTGCCCTTCAGAACCCTCCTGGTGTTCAGCCCATTTCAAAGAGGGGTTAAGCAGAGACTTTGGGGCTCCCTCACGCCATGCACTCAATTTTGCAGGCTGTTAATGGAGAAGAGGGCGGATGACAGCCGGGACCGTGGTCATCACAGGTGGAATATTAGCGACTGTCATTCTACTCTGTATCATCGCCGTCCTCTGCTACTGTAGGCTCCAGGTAAGGCTGGGGGATGGCTGGGGAGGGGAGGGCTGATGGGCTGGGAGCTTTTGGGGTGCCAGCTGAGCCCCTCCCGTTTCAGTACTACTGCTGCAAGAAGGATGAATCCGAGGAGGACGAGGAGGAGCCCGACTTCGCCGTGCACTCGCACATCCCTCCGCTGCACTGCAACCGCAACGTAGTGCTGACCAACGGCCCCTCCATCTACTCCTCATCCCCCTTCGCCAAAAAACCAGCCCAGAGCCGGCCCAGCTGCCCCAGCTGTGCTCCCTATGAACCCCCCACCTCCTTCCTCCAAGAGCCCCCCACCTCTTTCCTCCAAGACCCCCCAACTTCTTTCCTCCAAGAGCCCCCCACCTCTTTCCTCCAAGACCCCCCAACTTCTTTCCTCCAAGAGCCCCCCACCTCTTTCCTCCAAGAGCCCCCAACTTCTTTCCTCCAAGAGCCCCCAACTTCTTTCCTCCAAGAGCCCCCCACCTCCTTCCTTCAGGACCCCCCCACCTCCTTCCTGCAGGAGCCCCCCGAGGATCTGCACAACGGGGGTGACAGGGTGAGCTACAAGACGGTGAGCCAGGAGGATCTGGCGCTGCCGGTGTCCAACCTGCAGGCTCTCAACCCCAACAGGCTCTCGGCCATGCGGGAAGCGTTCTCCCGCAGCCGCAGCATCAGCACCGATGTGTGAGCTGGGAGCTGGGAGCTGGGAGCTGGGAGGTGCAGCCTAGCCCACCCACCCCTCAGAATCTCCCCCTGAGGTTTTGGACAGCGGGAAGGACTGGTTGGAATTGGTGGAGTTTTGGAAAGGGGAAAAAAACAAACAAACAAAAAAAAAAACGAAACAAAAAAAAAAGTGAATGTATTCCTACGGGCTGGCGGTGTAAAGGGGGAGCAGAGCAACCCCAAGCGAGGAGCAGGGGGGTGCAGCTGGAACGGGAGGTTTCCCCAGTGCTGCATTGCTTGCTTTTATTCTTTTATAAAGAGGATTTTGATATTGAGCATCCTTTTCTACAGAGGAGTTGCCCTTCCTCAGCATTCGCCCGGGGGGATGCTGGGGGAACGATGGGGCTCACGGGTGGCTGAAAATGGCTCGTGCTGCAGGTCAGCAGCAGCTGCTGGCATCACCTGGGGGCCCCAGGATGCACTCACGTGCTCACACACACCCCAAAATGTCCTGCAGCAAAGCAAGGCTGTCACTGCCCACCCTTGTGGCTCCCTGTGCTGTGCTGCTCGCTGCTGCAGCCACGCGAGTGTCTGTGGGTGTGGGGGTGAGTGAGCGCAGCCCTGCACCATTCCCAGCCCATCCCACTCCTCCTGCCAGGCGCTCATTCCCGGGTACAGCCAGGCACAATCCCCTCAGGGTCAGGATGGTGGCTGGGTCTGTCCCTGGAGCCCCCCAGAGTGGCCTCATGGACCCCCTGAAGGAGCTGGGGGTGCAAAACCACTGCATTGCTCAGCTATGGAAATAACACACAGCACACTTTGGGATGGAGGAATGTGGATAATCAGCATCCCTGCTCCAAATAATGCCATACACAACTTCTGGCTGAGGGCTCCGTGGCACAGGGCTCACCGTGTGTGCGCCCACCCCTTGCATGCACAGTTTTACATACATTTATTTGTTTGGGAGGGGGTTTTTTTAAACAAAAATCAAAGAGAAAAAGGCACTTTTTTCCCCCCCCATCCAGGATAGTGTCAAAACGCTTTTCAATTCACTCAAAACCTCCAATTTGCATTTTCCATTGAGCCATTTCCCATAGCCAGGCAGCCTGGCTGTGGCACCAGCTCTGTCCCACGCTGGATCCAGCAGGGACAGCCCTGGCAGAGCAGCAGGCACAGAGCTGGTCCCCAGGCCTGTCCCTGTGCACCAGGTGTGCTGCAGAGGAGCCCTTGGGGTTACTCAGCGATTTAGGAGAGGAATTGCAGCACTGAGGGGACTCCTGCTCTGGTTTCTCCCTGCTGTCTCCGTTCCTCCCCTCTAACCACACTCCATGTGACAGAACACCCTGTTTCTCCTGGACTGGGCATTATTCAGGTTAAAAGCATCACCTGGGGATGGCTGGCGAGGATGGACTGGCTGCACACAGACTCTGATGGCCTCAGTGCTGTGCTCCAGGGAGATTTTCCTTTTTTAAAGATGTCCTGGGAAGAAGCAGCCGTGGCTGCAGCCCCCTGGGCTCATGGACACTGTTTGCAGCCCACCTGGGTATTTTACTTCAAACCACGAGGGCTTTTAATTCCACAGGAAACCTTTTGAAGTACATGTCAGTCTTTGCAAATGAGTATCTTGGATTTTCGGGGGGGGGGTCTCTTTGGGGTGGGGAGGGCTGGGGTTTGTTTCATACGTGTTTAATATTCCAGGCTTGGTCCCTGTGGTCCAGCACAATCCCTCTGCTCCAGGGGGATGCAGCCACTCAGACCATGCTCCCATGTACAGTTCTCACTGGGGTTTGTTTCCATGCCTTGAGCCCTTCTCTTCCTGTTTTTCGTGATTTCTCCTCCCAACCTTCCTTTCCTCCTTTTTTTCCTTGTTTCTTTCCCTTGTAGCTTGGAAATTCAGCAAACGGGGTTGGCTTTCCCTCACCTGGTGATCTGTTGTACAGAACTTTGGGAATCGCAGATAGGGGAGGGAAAAAGTCAAAAAAGAAAATAAATAAATAAAAAGAAATAAATTACTTTGACATGGGTTTTGAGGTTTGTTTTACTTTTTTCGCCCCTGCATCTGCAAATTTGGGGTGGTGTTTGCAAAGCACTCAGGAGCTCCCTGCTGCTGAGGGAGAGCTGCAGCAGCACTTGGGGTGCACAAAGAAGTTTGGGGGATGCAAAAGAGCCTTTGGCTCAGTGTCTGGGGGTCACACCAGTAAAAACACAGAGCAATAACCCCTTGGGAGCTCAGAAAGGCCCTTTTCTTACTGGCACCATATGAAATCTCTTTGCTGCCAAACCCTTGAGGAGTTTCAGGGCTGCAGCTTCTAAAGCCACAGAACCCCAAAGGGCCCCCAAAAGTCCCAAAATCCCCTCACTGTTGGGACTTTTCCTTGCATTGCTGTCCAAGGAGCTGTGATTCTCCTGATTTAAAGCTGCTCTGTCTCCCCTGGGCACCAGAAAATCCCCAGCCCCAATTGCAGTGTTCCCATCACTTCACTACAAACTGGAGAATAAAACAAAATACCACCATAAATATGACAACTTTATTAAAATATACATATGAGTACAAATTAATGATTATATGGATAAAGTTCACTGTCTGTAAACAAATATATTAAAAAAAGAGCACGTCTTTTTTGTGATATAAAGTGCAGTTATGTTTCCATATTATATACAATATGTCAGCATTGGGGGAGGGGGGGGTGTTGTAAGGACTATGAAACTAACATTTGATTATAAGATAAAATTCTCTGAAAAAGTATACACCTACATATTACAAAAAAGGGCTTGAGTTCATTTAACAAACGAGGATCAGCTTCCCACCACGTTAATTCAGCTAACGAGGGCACGCAGGTCTCGGGATAAATCAGGAGAGAGGCACCAACCCCATTTTGTGAAGGGAAACTTGCACTTCCCAGAGTTCACACCAACCCCAACCTCACACCGAGGGAGGAAACCAAAGGACAAGACCTTGGGCGTAGCTGGATTTTGGGAGGGGGGAATCAAATATACACGACTTTATGTACAGCTCTGATCCCACGTCCAGCAGCGCCGTCCCTCTGCTCGGCACCAGCAGAGGAGCTCTGCTTCGGTGGGGACACAAAAACCAGGCCAAAAGCATCCTTGTGAGCAGCTGTGGGATGGGTGGGCCGTGTGGCAGGTGGAGCCCTGGCTGGGGCAGCCCTGCCCTAGGAGTGGGGTGCACGGCAGGAGCGGCAGCAGGCTTTGCTGTAGTACCAGTGGCTGCAAAGGTTCACCTTGATGGCCAAGGCACAGTTGGTTCCTGCCTGGTCCTGGCAGCTGTCGTCTGGGGGAGAGAAAACACAAGGATGGCATGGAAGGGGAAAAGGCATAGACACCTCCCTGCCAAATATTCAACCAGAGCCCCTATAGATCTCTCCCGGCACATAGTGAGCCATTGCTTCAGCCCATAGGGACCCTCTGCCACATAGTGAGCCATTGCTTCAGCCCATAGGGACCCCCCACCACATAGTGAGCCAATGCTTCAGCCCATAGGGACCCTCTGCCACATAGTGAGCCATTGCTTCAGCCCATAGCGACACCCTGCCACATAGTGAGCCATTGCTTCAGCCCATAGCGACCCCTCTGCCACATAGTGAGCCATTGCTTCAGCCCATAGGGACCCCCTGCCACATAGTGAGCCATTGCTTCAGCCCATAGGGACCCCTCTGCCACATAGTGAGCCATTGCTTCAGCCCATAGGGACCCCTCTGCCACATAGTGAGCCATTGCTTCGGCCCATAGGGACCCCCTGCCACACAGTGGGTTATACTGGTTCATACTGGGAGGGAGTTCAGGATGCTCTGGGAGTGGCTTTTGCGGGTACTGGTTTATACTGGGAGATGAAACCACGAGGCTCTGGAACCCACTGGGAGTGACTTCCAGGGCTGCTAGGCTAACTGGTTTCTACTGGTTTATACTAGGGACGTGCTCATGAAGCTCTGAAAATTATTTGCAGAGTAATGGTTTCTACTGGGAGGTGCTCAGGACACTCTGGGACCCACTGAGAATGATTTTGAGTGGTTCTGTGCTTACTGATTTATACTGGTTTTTACTGGGAAAAGTTCCGAGGGGAGTGCCACATAGTGAGTCATTGGTCACCTCATAGGGACTCCCTGCCACAAAGTGAGCCATCAATTCTGCCCATAGGGAACCCCCTGCTACAAAGTGAGCAGAGTACCCTGCCACATAGTGAGCCATTTGATCACCCTATAGAGACACCCTTGCCAAATTCTGAGCCAGAGCCCCTCCCCGTATTATGCTATAGACACCCTGAGAAAGAGTCTACAGACTAGAAAAAGAAAATAAACAACTGCGAGCTCATGAGTTCATTTTCCCCACACACAGAGCTCTAAACAGCACGGGATGAGCAGCAACATCATCCCAGCTGTGGCTGCCACCTCCCTGACATCCCCTGGAAAACACCATGGAGCTTCTCCAGAATTATCATTGTCAAGCTGGGCAAAGGCATGAACAGGCTGATCTGCTCCTTCACACCTGGCCAGGCTTGGGGAGTCTCACTTGGTGCCAGTCCTGAAGCTCAATGTCTTTGTTGTAAACCAGAGCTGCCCAGGGACTGCTGGAGGCACCAAGCACTGAGTTGTGTCCAAGTCAAGGGCTTCCCCTGGTAGGAATTCACAATTTCTATCCCAAAGGGGCTATTCGAGAAAGGGAATGGGAATCCAGCAGTCACATCCAGAGTTAGGAGCAAGTGAGATGCTGGAGAAAGGGATGAGGCCAGAGGCTGCTTCAGCACTCTCCCAGCTCCTTTCTGTGCAATATTTTGCTTCAGACCCATAGGATTTATACTTATATACATATATATTGCTTAAAATCCATAGGATGCATGAAACCAGGCTGATTCCAGGGCAAAGGGGCCATAAAGCAACTCCCAAGCCCCATGCCCCATCCCAGATCCCAAGGGAATGGGCAGCCCAGAGCACCCAGGGCTGAGCCAGGAGCTGGCCCCAAATCTGTCGTCTCCCATTTTCCTGCTTTTCTCCCACACTGTCCTTATTCCCAAATCCTATTAAAGGATTAGAACTGCGTGTTTGCTAAAGATCACAGGGACTCTGAGCCAGCAGACGAGTCAGATAACGAGATAGTTACAAATCCCACAGGACACCCAAAGACCAAAAATCATTAAAATAATGGCACAGACAGAACTTCCTTGGCTCTAGCTGGAATCTTACAGAAGCAGCACCCAAATCAGCTCTCCAAAGGCCCCTTTTATCTTCAGGTCAGAGCATGATTCTTCTGAGCTCTCCTCTTAATTTATCTGCAGAAAGAGCTGGTGCACAGCCCCCCATTACTTGGGCACAGAGAGCTGTCCCTGTACATCCTCCCTGGCATGATTATCCAAATGGGGGCAGTGAAAGATAAGGAATCCATGGAAAATCAAGGCCGTGGGGCAGTGGGGCTCACCTGGGGGCTCAGTGGGGCAGGGCTGCAGGTCACAGGTCTGTTTGCCCACGGGCTTCACCAGCGGGTCACAGCCCCGCACGATGTCCTTGCCTTGGTAGCACTTCACATCCCGCATCCTCACGCCGATCCCGCAGGTTTTTGTGCACTGGGGGACAGAGAGAGGGGGTGAGACAAGACCCTGCCATCCCTGGGGACTGTGCTGAGCCGAGATCTGTTCGTTATGGCAGGAGGAGAATGTCGCATCCAGTGTTACACTGCTGTCCCCTTGCTCTGTCTTTGCCGCCAGCACCATCAGCTTCAGCCCCGGGGTAGGTGGATGTGATCCCCTGGCACTGACACCCTCCCTCCTCCTGCTGCCCTTCACAAGGGACCACAAACGAGCTGGCCCAGTCCAGGTGATGATCTGTAGGACGTGGGTGGCCATGGAAGCCCCAGAGCAGCAGGAGTGGGGTTGGGGGGGGTCTCTGTGCATCCATGGTGGGGTTTGTGGAGCCACTGCTGGGCCCAGCACTCACTGCCTGCTGCCCTTTGGATGCCTCATGGAGCTGGGATTATAGCAGGACTGCTTTGGCTAATTACAGGGTTTGCAAGATTAAAAATGAGGCTCCTGGAGCTCAGATGAGGAAGGATGCATCCAGGAGGGCTTGCAGGAAACCCACGCTTGCTCAGCTTAGACCCTTGTCCACTGAAGGGTGCCTTTTGAGCTGTGCAGGGTGATGGGGCATCCCATCACAGCATCCCCAAATTCTGCATCCCTGTGGCAGCCACCCTGTGGGCTCCATGCACACCCTCAGCCATACTCCCAGGCACCAGAGAAAAAAAAATAAACAAAAAATTAAAACTGCAGCTGGCCCCAAACACCCCCTCTCAATGCTGTTCTCCATGAGCACAGGGAGCCCCAGCTGCACCATGGCAGGCAGAGACTCCCTCATCTCCTGGAGGGTTCTGCAGGCAGGTGAGCCTTGGGGCAGCACAGCTTTGGGGCTCCCTCCCCACTCACCTCGGACCAGGGGGTCGTGTACCACTTGAAGCAGGGCCTCTCGAAACACGTGCTCTCCTCCACGGGCTTCTTGGCCATGTCACAGTCAGAGGGGCTGCGGGTCTTGATCTTGCCATTGACAATCTCCAGGCAGAGCACGATCCTCTTCTTCACACCCCGGCCACACGTCGTGTTGCACTGCAGGGTCACGAGCAGGGCCAGCTGAGTCCTGCACACCCCATCCCCATCCCTCTGAGGGCACCCCAAAATTCAGGAGCTCACAGTCCTGCACACCCCATCCTCCCAAATTTCAGGAACTGCACACCCCACCCCTCTGAGGGCACCCCAAATCTCAGAATCTGCACTTGCCAGCTCCCAGTCCTGCACACCCCATTCCCATCCCTCTAGGGCACCCCAAATTTCAGGATCTGCACTTACCCGCTCCCAGTCCTGTACATCCCACCCCTCTAGGGCACCCCAAATTTCAGGATCTGCACTTACCCGCTCCCAGTCCTGTGCCAGCCAGTGAGAGGGGCAGTTCTTGTCCCCGCAGGGGTGGATGGCCAGGGGTTTGGTGTCCAGGTTGCACTGGGACTCGGGCACCACGCGCCCGTCGCTGGTTTTGCAGTACACGTGCCGGATCATCCTGCCCTGCCCGCAGCCACCGCTGCACTGCAACCACAGCGGGCACTCAGCCTGGGATCCATCCCTGAGCCACCCCGGGGCAGGGACACAGCCCCCGGGGCAGGGACACAACCCCCGGGGCAGGGACACAACCCCCACAAGGCTCAGCTGCCACCCCACACCTGCCTTCCCCAAATTTCAGAGGGGTTTTTGGGGCTCGGCTTAAAACAGCTACAGCCGATGCTTTGCAGCCAACAGAGATTCCAGTATCACGGAATCCCACACTGGGTTGGGAGGGACCTTAAAAATCATCTTGTTCCACCCCCCTGCCATGGGCAGAGACACCTTCCACTATCCCAGGTTTTTCCAACCTGGCCTTGAACACTCCCAGGGATGGGACATCCAAAATTTCTCTGTGCCAGGGCCACAGCCCCAACACCCAGCACCTCTCAGGGCGGGTAAAAGGGGAAGCATCACGAGCAGGCAACCCCCAAAGAGGCCAAAAGCAAAGGGGACCAAGGAAGTGGCTGCAAATATTCAGCCCCAGTGCCCCAGCGCTGGTGCTCCCCGGCTCTGCTCTTGCAGAGACTCTCGGTGTTTCCTAGCACTGCTGCTGCCATGGAAACTACTTATTTTTAGCTGATGTGAATGTATCAAATTTGGTAAAAATAGCTTGGGATGGAGGGGGTCTCTGGAGCAGAATTGTGCAGGAAGGGGAAAAAGCCGGGGGGGGAGAAAAGAAAAAAAAAAAAGAGAAAGCAAAAGAGAATAGGAAATAAGGAGGAAAAGAAAAATAAGGAAAGGGAGGAAAGAAGGAAAGAGAAAAGGTAGAGGGGGAAAAGGAAAAAGAGAAAGGGGGAAATAAAGGGAAAAGAATTTAAAGGTTCAATTTCTGGGCATGGAGCATCAGCATTGCCAAGGAATGCTGTGCAGCAGACAGACAAGAGGATTTTGACACCCACTGAGGCCCTCAGCCAGGTCTCTCAGGGTTTAACCCCTGCTGTACCACATCCCCTATAGGGCAGGAGCCTCAAGGAGAGCCCAGGGGGAAGCAAGAGCATCCACTGGGCTGCTGGGTCACCCCCAGCGCCCGAGCCACGGTGACGGTGCTGGGAGGGGTGACACGGGACAGCCAAAGCCGTGGAATTATTCGGGGTCTGCTCCCAGCACAGGCTGCCTGCAGGTTTGTTGGGATGCCGAGCCCACCACCCCCAAAACCCCCAATGCCAGGGACAAGCCAGGCTGTGCTTGGCCACCCGGGCGGGGTCTCACCGGTCCCCAGTCGGACACTGTCCACTGCCGGTCACACGGTGGCCCCGTGCAGTTCTTCTCGGCCAGGGGCCGGGCGCTGGCATCGCAGAGCTTCTCGTCCTCGGAGCAGCGGATGTCCCTTGTCACCACGCTGCGCTCCCCGCAGCGAGCCGAGCACTGCCGGGAGGGGACAGGGACACAGCGTCAGCCCGAGCCACCGCAGATGCTGCCTTCCACACTGGGGGTTTCCCTCCCACCGTGTTTTGACATAAAACTCTAAAAGCACACACTGAAAAAATGCACGAATGACTTCCCCAAAGCCCCCCCTCAACAGCTCCAGCATCCTGCCCAGGTGTTGTGCTCTCCCACAGGTGATGCCAAAGAAGGGGAAATTCAAGGTTCCAGGAATGCCTGCTCAGAGCTGAGAGGAATGAGGGATTTGTCTGTACAAACCAGCTGTGGGTCTGCTGGTGGATAAAACCAGCACTGAGAGATAAAAGAAACAATGGGATGGATTCCATTGATTGATGAATGGAAAAAAGATATTTGCCTTTACAAACAAACTGTAGGGTTTGCTGATAAATGAAATTGGATATTGAAAGATGAAAGAAGCAATGGGAAAAAACAATGAATTCCATAAGAATTAAAAATTAAAAGGGAGGGCTATACATTAGAGGGGAATCTCAGATATCAGGAATTTTGGGAAGTCTGTACCTCTGAAGTACCTCAGCCAATGGGGAAAGAGAGAGGGAAATGTGACCGGGAAAATGGGATAAAAAAGGAGGCTGAGTCCTCCAAAAATTTGAGACACCCCAGGGGAATGCCCCATGGCCTCTCCCTTTATTTGAATAAAGCAAAAAGGACTCCTCTGTCTCCTTTTTGGACACAAACCTCTGGTGTTTGTGGATTAATTTTCCTGACAGAGCTGAGCAGTTTTAGCTGTCACTTGGAGGCAGGGTGAGATCTCCCTCGCCTCCTTCCCAGGAACAGCCAGCTCCTTTCCACCTCTTGGAGAATGTTCCCCCCTCCTGACTGCACAACTGAGATTTTTATGCTGTGGATAAATTTGGCACCGTGCAGCCCAGTGACATTATTTAGAACTGGATTTGAGTTACTACAGTCTCACATACACATTACATTTGCTCCATGCATAACGTAAAGCAGGGAAAAGTGTCAACAGCACAGGGCCCAGACGCAGCGTGCCGAGATGTTAATCCTCAGAGCCCTGAAATGTGCTTTTTTTA